CAAAAATAAATAAATAAACTTAAAAAAAAATCTGAAACCGCTTTGGAAAAACCTACTGGCCACCCAGATGCAAAAATCGTCACTGGAACACTAGCAGCTCAAAATCAAAAACGTGAGAAAGGGTCGGGGCGCCTGGGTGGCGCAGTCGGTTAAGCGTCCGACTTCAGCCAGGTCACGATCTCGCGGTCCGTGAGTTCGAGCCCTGCATCGGGCTCTGGGCTGATGGCTCAGAGCCTGGAGCCTGTTTCCGATTCTGTGTCTCCCTCTCTCTCTGCCCCATTCATGCTCTGTCTCTCTCTGTCCCAAAAAATAAATAAACGTTGAAAAAAAAAAAAAAAAAAAACGTGAGAAAGGGTAACTGAAGACCTCAGATTCCCAAGTGGGTTTATCCCAGGGATGCAAAGACAGCTTAACATCGGGAAATGGATAAGCTCCATCATAGCCACAGTCCGCAGAGAAATGTCGTTCTCTCCAGAAAAGCCAACGCGGACAAAGTTGGAAATCTGCGCCCGACAGTCTTAACAGACTCTGAGCGGAATACGTGGGGTGCTGCAGAGTGCCTGTCTGTCCGGAACAGTAGCTAGAAGCTGGAACCCCCGGCGGGAGGCACCCCCACTGGCGGTCAGGTTGTGCAGGTGGCTAGCACCTGAACGGGAACTTCCCAGCAGGCTCTGGGCATCTCACAGTCTGCAGAGGAGCAAAGGGAGGTCTGGCCGTGGGGGTCGGGGCTGTTCCTGGGGAGCTCTGCCTCCAACAGACCCAGGCCCCCCCGTCTTGGCCGCAAAGCTCGGATTCTGGTCCACCAGCTGTGCCAGCCGTGGTCTGGAGAGCAGGGGTGGGCAGTCAGAACGCTGCTGTGAGGGGCCATCTTGGGAGAGGAGGTGGGAGGGGGGCTCTGCGTGGACCTTGATTGCTTGGGGTCACCCCGCATGGTATTCTGCCTCTCTCCCTTTTCCAGTCCACACTGAGCTATGCCGGTCATCAAAGCACCAGATTCTCCTGGCCGAGATGGGGAAGTGACCCCATGAGAGCCAATGAAGAATAACGAGGATTTTGCTGGGAATGCTGGACAAAATACGCTCATTGTTCCCTCGAGTCTGTACCTGTGGGAACGGTCTGGACCCGCTGCAGCCATCCCGTGACAAAGAAGACAGCCGTGCTAGAACATGGATACGCACTTAGAGACCAGACTGGGATGCTTGATCAAGCCAGACCTGAAGCTTAAGCCGTGTGAACGCATACATGCCCTTGAAGTTAATTTGGTCGTGTTTTCTGTCTTTTATAGTGAAGAGTCTTGGGGCACCTGGGTGGCTCAGTCCGTTAAGTGTCTGACTCTTGATCTCTGCTCAGGTCTTGATCTCAGGTCTTGAGTTCAAGCCCCACATCCGGGTCCACAGTGGGCATGAAGCTCACTTATAATTAAGAGTCTAGACTGCCACAGGCTGCAATTACAATAGGACCTGTCCACACGCACCACTGTTGCCTAATGCTTTTCTGAAAATCCCAGCCATTTTTATATCTATGTGACAGAACCATCATCACATAGAAGGACTTGACCCCCCAGATCCCAGATGACGGCAAAGCCCGGCTGGCACGCGGTGGGAGCTCTCTGCGAGCCGTGGGCCATGACAAGCGTTCATCCTGGGAGGGGGGGAGCGCCCGAGGAGTGCCCCAGGCCTGGTGAGGGGACGCAGGGGCCTGCGGTGGTCTTTGCCCCTGATGCCCTGTGACGGAAGTAGCTTCTCTTCTTTCTGGGAAATGCACTCGGCACCCCCTGGGGACGTGCCCCGCGACCCGGCGTTGCTCTGTAGCTCGGAGAAGCCAACGTGCCAAGTGCCTTTGCGAGGGCTGCTGTCCCATGCGTGACACTTCTGTGAAAAATGACTTTTTTCCGTCGCTCCTTCCAGAACATGACCACTTCCTGTCCGCTGGAAGGGCACCTTCTGTCCAGGGGCGCACTGTCCTGTTTGGGAGGAGCCGTGGGGCTCGCTTTGCCTGCTGACTTGGGATGTTACTGATTTTCCTGCCAGGTGCTCTCGCACACGCCTGCTCGTGGGAGCCTCACGCCCTGGCGTTCCACAGTCGGGGAGGCCACGGCTGGCTGACGTCACGGGGCCCCCGCCTCGCCGGGGCCCGCGGCTCTCCCCCGCCTTCCGTGTGTCACTTCAGATCCGGTCTGGACCCCTCAGCTGTCCTGGGACCGGCAGGAAACGGCGTGCACGCAAGCCTCCGGGACCGCAGCTCTAGCAGGTGCTGGCCGGGGCAGGCCCAGCCCCCCTGTTCCCAGCAGCAGCCCCCGGGGCGCGGACCTGGGTGTGAGACTGAGTCCCGGTCTGTTGCCAGGAAAGGCAGGGCTGCTATTGTCCACGACGCGTGGCCCGTGAGCTTCTGGGGGCGACGGTCCCCAGGCAGTGCCCAGGGGCGGGGCTGTGTGACCTGGGCAGGCAGACACACGAGTTTTGCCCCGCCCTCAGTGGGTCCCGGGCTTGGGCCACTCACATTGCCAGGTCGTGGCTCACAACCGCCACGTGGCCCCCGGTGGCCTCCCCGGGTGCACAGAGCAGGACCCCCGCGCCTCCCAGAGGTCCCGCCCCGAAGACAGGAAACTGAAGCCAGGCTCGGCTGCCCCGTCGGGGCGCCACGGCAGGCGGCCACGGCAGCTCCCTGCGTGCCCTCTTTCTGAGAGTTCCCGGGAGCACTTGCTCCTCCGCCCGGCATCCGACAGCCCCTCTGGGACGTGGTTTAATGTTCTCGCCAAATTGAAGTGTGAGCCACCTACTTACAATCAGGACACTCAGCCCGGGGAGGGGCCCCCCCGATCTTTGGGAGCACGGTTCTCCGTCACGTCCGTGTCTGTGTCAGGAAGGTACCAGCAGCTCCGGTGACAAGAGTGCTAACTGCCGAGTCCCAGGTTCCCGCCCGAGGGCCGGCTGAGGCTCATTCAAAGGCTCGCTCCCTCGTGTCTGTCGCACAGGAGGGCTCCTCTCGGCTGGCCTGCGTCCTGGACAGTCGTCCTTCCCCGGGGCACTGAAGGCGGGGGAAACCATAAGGCCAGGCTGCCTCCAGCAGGTGCCCGGAGAGACCCCAGAACTCAGCTCCTGGGGTGTGTGTGTGGGGGGGGGTCTGTCGCAGTGCTGAATGGCCCCTCTTCGGCGCCCCTCCTCGGTCTGGGGGCCTTCCCAGGGCCAGTCCCTCTAGATACAAGGTCACGGCTGAGGATGGCCCCTGCTGATGCAGGGCCTGAGTGTCACGGGCACCGAGCCCATCTGGGAGGACAGCAATGGTCGTCTCTGGGGACACGTGCCACCACTGCCCACGCTCCACTCTGGCCACTGCTCTTGTCCCAGACATGGCTCTCCCTCCGCTCATGCGTCCTGTCCAAGGCGCCCACAGGACCTCGTGGGCCAGCGGGGTGTCCGGAGGAAACAAGGTGGTGTGTTGGGTGGGGCTTCCTTGGGGTGCTCTCAGGGTACACGAGCCACCCTGTCGGCCCCTCTGTTCCACCTCCTGCACCAACCAGCCTGGACACGACGGTTACCCTTGGCATTTGGGGAGACAACGCCTGGAAAGATGGGAACACTCACTATTTTTATCACAGATTCAGAGACTGTGTACCGAGAACGAGTTCCCACTGTGTGAAGGCTGGGATGTTCCTAGAAGGGGCACAGACCCTCCCTCCCCTGCCACCTGCCAGCAGGGATGGGAAGAGCCCGAATCTGGGCGGCCCCCCGGGAGGCGGCATCGGGGCCTACAGGACGGCTTCTGGTCTGAGGGAGGGAAGCAGCCCGGGGCAGAGGGACACTGATGTGCCATGTGGTCACCAGAGCCTTCGCTGACCCACAGGGGGCTGTGGGCTGCCTGAGTGTCGGCCTGGCCCAGGCCTGTGTCCCGCGTTGACCAGTCACTGGGCCTCTGGGCAGCACATCTTTCCGGAAACGTCCTCTGGGTGGAAGCGGCTGTTCTTGGGCCTTGGTTACCACGGTTACAGATCCCTGGGGTGCGAAGCCGGGGCCCTCCCCTCCCCGAGTTCTCTGGCACATTTTGGGCCGCGCAGCAGCGCAGGGGACTCGTGGGATGCTCCTTGTGTGGTCCAGACCTGGGCCCGGGCTGGGCCTGCCCAGAGGGAGGGTGTGTGGGCCCAGCCGGAGCCTGCAGGACCTCGGGCGGGCCTGGGGCGGGGATCGGAGACAGAGGGGTGATGGCCAGTCTCCAGGGTCACGGCAAGGACCCTCTCGGGGGCTGCTGAGGGTCACTGCAGGAGCCCCCACTGAGGCTCCCGGGGTCTTGGAGCCCCTGTGCCCTCGGCCCCGGAGTCCAGCCGGTGCCCACTGACGGACGGGCACCCCTGCTGGGAGAGAAGCCGCCTTCCGGAGACGCCCCTGTGGCTGGGGGGGAGGGGCCAGTGGCATTCGTGACAGGGAACTGGGGAGCCTCAGAAGTACGGTTGATACCTTGTTTCCTACCGAGGATTGAGCACCCGCCCCGCTGCAGGCTGGGTGTCGATCGACACCGGGAACAAGTCCACTCGGGTTGAGTCGTGAAAACATTATCTGGGCAGATCCTTAATCACTGGCCTCTCAAGTCTTCGTTACCAGAGACGAACTAAAAAAGATTTCCTTTGTCATTGACTCATCTTGGCCTAAATGTCGTGGGAAATTTCCATGACTGCTCAAAGGCGACATGGGAGCGCCCGTGGAATCCCGCGCCGAGGTGGAAACGCACGCGGGAAGGGGACCGGAGCGTGGGCGCAGCCGTGCGTGGATCTGTCTCTTCCAGGGCGAGCGCGGGTGGCAGCGACGGGGACCCTCGGCGGCCGGGGCGCGGTACCAGCGGGAAGACTCGGCCCCGGCGTGGGACCCAGCCTCACCCGCGTTTGCCCGTGGAGACGTCTTCCCAGAAGACTCTCCTTCCGCGGGGGCATTCTTTCTTCCCACAGCTGTCCTTCACCTGTTACAGCGCACAGCTCAGCGGCCCGCGTGTACTTGCGGAGATGCGTGGCCGTCGGCACAGCCGGCTTCAGCACGTGTGCGCCCCCCGCGAGAGAGACCCGGACCCCTCACTGCCACGCAGCCTCCCCCGCCTCCCCCACCCCCAGCAACCGCTCGTCCACGTCCTGTGTCTCTGTGCAGCCCCGTCCTGGGCATTTCGGGATCGGAACGTTCCAGCGTGTGCGGTCACACGTTTGCTGACTTGACCTGAGTGCGTGTGGCCCCCGCACGTGGGGGACCTACACTCAGGGACCCTTCCTTTGAGCTCCAAGGATAAGGTTCGCGGTAAAAGTGTTACAGAGGGCCTGCTTCCCCTGGCAGTTCGGAGACCGGGGAGGCAGGGGACGGCTGGCTCGCGGGCGGCCAGGTCCTGCGGAGGCCTTGACCACCTGTAGGACCTCACCTTCCCCGCTAGATGCTGGTTCCCCGGTCCCGATCCCCAGAGTGAGCGGGGCTGCGTCCTTGTCCCCTCTCGGGGAGGGGACAGCAAACTGCTCCTGGAACACTGTCCCTGAGCCCCGAGGCTGCACCCCAGCTGCATCCCCCAGCCCCAAGCTCTGCCGTCCCTCCCACGGGCCTCCCGCCCCCAGCTCCGCTCCCCTGGAGGAAAGGCTAGCCCACAGCCTGTGTCCACACGGCCCACAGAGCCACTGGCCGGTCAAGTGGCAACCACGGGACGTCTGAGTTGTGAGGTCCAGACAGACAGAAGGAAAGATGTTTTAACAAAGTCTTTGGCTGGGAGATATTTACGTAGTTTTGAAGACAAAGAGACCAAAGCTCAGCCTCTGCTTGGACCGCCAGGGTCACCAGAGCTGGGAGGCCAGGTGAGTGTGGACGGGCTACCCTGCAGAGCCCGTGGCAGGCCTTGCAGACAGGGGTCCCCCTGCCTTCCGGACAGGGTCTCCATCACCAGTGGTGGGAAGAGGCATAGATAGTATAGAAACGTTTTCAGAGAATCAAACCCAAAATGTCAATATTTGTTATTTTTTCTTGTCCACGATTTGCTGGTTTTGGCTAAAAACTTCAGGCAACAGATGGCCAGACACTCTGGCCCCCCTCTGTCACCAGCTCCTGGTTTTAAAGGAGTCACGGCCCAAAGGAAGGGGCCACTTGCAAGGGGGAGAGTTGCTCTGAGCTGGAAACAGTGCCACCGGGGACTTTTGTCCACAAAATGGGCATGGTCTGGTCAAAGCTGGTAAGACTGGTCCTCAGATAAAAGAAACATCACAATGTTAGTTCCTGGGCCCCCATGATTCCTCTGGAGTGGCTC